AAACAACAAAAGAGAACATCCCTCACTGCTCTTCAATTTTGTAACTTGAATAATATATAATATAATAATAATATATATTTAGTTTACACAGTGAAGAAAATGCAGTGTTTTATACATTTGATTACTTTATACAATGGAGCATTTCTTATTTATTTGTTCTACCATAGTTTTTTGTCCTATTGCTTGTAATGTTTCATATTTAATCGCTGACTGTTTACTTGTGTTCAGTTACCTTTTTTTATATTTAGGCTAGTAATAGTTTTTGTGATATTGACACTAGTGACAAGAATTACGAAGTTTCTATGGTATCAGAAATGTTTATATCATAAAGACCTTATTTAAAGCAAAAATAACCATACTGTGATTTAAATCGTTACCATGAAATAAAATTACTCATATCGTTATATAAAAGTTTGGTCATATCACCCACCCCTGATATAGATAGATAGATAGATAGATAGATATAGCAGTTCTATAGCATAAGAGGCCAGAGGCCAAACGCAGAGGAATGTCATATGATTGTCACTGCATTTGGCACTTTCATGAAGCCAGATTTGATATTTTACATATGTGATTTATTGTAATCACTACAAATGTACCTTATTTTTGCAAACTGATCCTGAGAGCAAGAATCACAATCATGCTGCCCTCCCCACAGTGACAGCAATGTGAAATACTTGAGATGATTAGGACGATGCGAAGTGCTTGACCCGAGCTTAGGGCCTCCCCATGGCACACGAAGAAAGTGGCACTCTCTGGGGAACTTCTAGTCACCATGGAGACACATTTCCACAGGTCTATTGTGGCGGTCATGTGAAAGTCCCTGTCAGGGTGAACTTAAAACGGTATGACATTTCACGTGCGAGAGCCAAGCTGTATTATTTATGAGATTATGCAAGTAGGGTCCCACAAAAAGAGCCACCAGAAAGTGGAAGCCACTATCAGTAGAATTCCAGACAGAAATGCTTCTCTTATCATATGAACTCCAAAAATCCCATCTACTTAAACCACTTTAAACTAATGGTTTAAACACTGCACAAACAATAAGCTACTAAGAAGCATTAACATCAATAATATTTTTAATCTAAAACACCAGACAGGCAGTTATGGAGGAACAACTGATTATATATACAGTTAGGTCCATATATATGTGGACACAGCACAGGCACAAATTTTTTTTTTTGTAGCTGTTGACCAAAACATATTTAAGTTACAGTTATAGAATGAATATGGGATTAAAATGCACACTCTGAGCTTTAATTTGAGGGTATCATCACAATTGGAGGAAAGGTTACGGAATTACAGCTCTTTAATATGTACCTCCCCCCTTTTTCAAGTGACCATAAGTAACTGGACAGTTGACTCAAAAGCTGTTTCATGGACAGATGTGGGCTATTCCTTCATTATTTCTACATCAACTAAGCAGGTACTTTTACTGGAGTTGGAGTTGATTCTAAGTGTGCCATTTGCATTTGGAAGCTGTTGCTGTGAACCCACATCATGCGGTCAAAGGAGCTCTCCATACAAGTGAAACAGACAATTGTTAGACTTCAAAAACAAAACAAATCAATCAGAGAGATAGCAGGAACATTAGGAGTGGCCAAATCAACAGTTTGGTACATTCTGAGAAAAAAAAGAACACACTGGTGAGTTCAGCAACATAAAAAGGCCTGGATGTCCACAGAGGACAACAGTGGTGGATGATCGGAGGATCCTCTCCATGGTAAAGAAAAACCCTTTCACAACATCCAGCCAAGAGAAGATCACTCTCCAGGAGGTAGGTGTGTCACTGTCAAAGTCTACCATCAAGAGAAGACTTCAATCAAGAGCAAATACAGAGGGTTCACCACAAGGTGCAAACAAGGCCTGATTAGACGTTGCCAAAAAAACATCTAAAAAAGCCAGACCACTTCTGGAAAAGCATTCTTTGGACGACTGAAATTAAAATCAACCTGTACCAGAATGACAGGAAGAAAAAAAAAATATGGAGAAGGCTTGGAACAGCTCCAAAGCATACAACATCATCTGTGAAACATGGTGGAGTGGTGTGATGGCATGAGCATGCATGGCTTCCAGTGGCACTGGGTGACTGGTGTTTAGTGATGACGTGACAGAGGACAGAAGCAGCCGGAAGAATTCTGAAGAGATATACTCTCTGCCCAGAGATTCAGTCAAATGCAGCAAAGTTGATTGGGCG